CAGGCCGACGGGGTGCGTCCGCCTTAAAACGTTTTAAGTCGCCTTTAACATTCCTTCCGAAATTCGTTTTCCTTGGAGTTTTCCAGTGCTCCGCCCAAAGCAACTTTTAACGGCTTTAAAGAAAGTCGGGTCTGAACATGTTTGTGTGGAGCGGTGGGGATCTTTTTTTTTTTTTGTTCATGCCTGATGCACTTCTTGGCGTTCGTGTTAATAACTCTCGTCCTTAAAACGTTTTAAGTCGCCTTTAACATTCCTTCCGAAATTCGTTTTCCTTGGAGTTTTCCAGTGCTCCGCCCAAAGCAACTTTTAACGGCTTTAAAGAAAGTCGGGTCTGAACATGTTTGTGTGGAGCGGTGGGGATCTTTTTTTTTTTTTGTTCATGCCTGATGCACTTCTTGGCGTTCGTGTTAATAACTCTCGTATCTTCTCAACCTTCATCTCATAGATGTTCATTTGGTCATACGGTAAAGCGTTGTGCGCCGCTAAATAGAGCGAGGACTATATTACGGTAGAATGCCTGTTGAACAATGAGATTTTGTTTATAATTTATTATTGTTTTGTCTCTTGTATTTACAGGGCAAGGATTCTTAAAGCTGTTAAAACTCCCTAAATAGTGCTTAATACAAAACAGGAAAAATAGCTGTTTTAAGTCATTTACATATATTTGCATTTGAAGGTTGAAAAATATAGTAACTAATGAACCTGGCTTTATGAACGGACATATTTTAAAAGTTATAATACAAACATTCACTCCCCCTCCCAAGGTGATTCACTATCCCAGGTTCTTTTCCCCTTTTCCGCTGTGAAAGACTCAACTGTAAAGCAACAGATTAGTTGCTCAAACATGAGAAATCGTGAAAGATAGTGTTGTCTTGGAAAAATGTTTTGTTTATTTTTCATATCTCTTTTAGGCATAGTAATCTTAAGAACATCTTGTAAACTCCAATTGCTTCTGCATCCTGAGTAGTTGAAAGTTTTCCTGGACAATTGCCATTGGCTTATGTGGAATCAGCTTTCTTTTTCTTTTTTTAAATTAAATCTATGGGCTTAGTGCTATGAAGAATTGGACCATTTCTTTGAAAGTTTGGAAGATGATGGTCATGTAATGGAAAACTGAATAGTTATGACAAATTCTTGAAAATGATTAATATAACTGAATAAATATCAAGCAATTAATGTTGAGTGCAGTTGCTTAAGTGCATTTTTGGGAATTCTCTGTGTTAACTTGGAAGGGTATGTCTGCACTTGCAACCTCTTCTGAGAGAGGAATGCAAATGAAGACATTCAAAATTGCAAATGAAGCCAGGATTTAAATATCCCATGCTTCATTTGCATATTCGCGTTATGGTGCTATTTTGAAATAGTGCTATTTCAAAATAACAGATGCTGTTAAGATGCGGTTATTTCAAGAGAAAACCCTTCTTCGAAATAACCCTTATTCCTCATACAATGACGTTTACCGATTATTTCGAGAGAAGGGTTTTCTCTTGAAATAACCGCATCTTAACAGTGGCTGGTATTTTAAAATAGTGCTATTTCGAAATACTGCCATAATGTGAATATGCAAATGAAGCGTGGGATATTTAAATCCCGGCTTCATTTGCAATTTCGAATGTCTTCATTTGCATCCCTCTCTCAAAAGAGGGTGCAAGTGTAGGCATACCCGAAGGGACTAAACAACTCATTTTGCTTTCTTTTGCTAGCTCTCTGCTTGCTTTCTGTTTCCTAAAGATATTCTTAAAATGTCTGATGTGAAGCAAAGAAAGAAACCTGTTCCTTCATCAAAGCATAACGAAGAACCACAGAAGCAGAGCAATTATGGAATGCTCTCTAATCCCAGAAGTGGAAGAAATAGCCCGAGTTCCTTTTGGATAGATTCGCGAACAGTCTTAAACCTACTTTCACTTTTTGCTTGTCTACTGCTGACCTGGTAAGTAATCCTTTAAAGGTAATTCTGGATATAGACTAGGGGTGTAAGCTCCTCTTTAACTTGCTAACTAGTTAAGCATATTGGTTAACCACTTACGGACACTTTCGGCACATGATAGCATAAATTATATGGTCATACAGGACATACCACACTAATACCAACCCTGGTACCTTCTTTTGCAACAAACCCGTTGCCAGCTTTGTCCACATATTCACTCTGCTAATACCATTATTGGACCTAACCAAGTGAGTTATAAGATCAAGAACACATTCCTGCTCATCCAGAAATATAATGTATGGTATTGTGTACCGAAAGTGTCCGTTTGCTATATACATTGGCGAAGTGTCTGAGACGTTTGTTCAAAGAATCAATGCTCACAAAACAGAAATTATACAGGATCACAAAGAAAAAACAGGTTCTTGCCATTTCAACCAGAAAGGACATTGTCTCAATGACTTGATTACCTGCATCCTGCTTCAAAGACCTTTTCAGACCACACTTGAAAGAGAATCCTCTGAAGTGTCATTCATGCTTAAATTCGACACTTTACACCTAAGTTTAAACAAAGACATTAATTATCTTACACATTACAAAGATAGCTTCCCCAATTATCACCTCTAATATCATTAGCTCACAGACATTTACCTCTCCCCTCCCCCATCCCCGTTCTGTTCTGAAATGTGATTTGTCCTTTTCATATGTGTTCATTTTTTTTAATTGTATCCTTTGGTATATATGGTTGTGCCAATTTTCTTCCACTATTTGATTTGAAGAAGTGGGTAGAACCCATGAAAGCTCATCACCTAATAAACCATCTTGTTAGTCTTCAAAGTGCTACATAGTCCTGTTTTTTGTTTCATCTATTAAGGATGAGGCTTCCCAGTTAACCGGTTAAACCTTCACATCCCTAATATAGACAGTTTCACACTTTTAAATTTTACTTTCTCTGATTTTTTTTCCTTGTCACATACAATGGAATTGTATATGGCATTAGTAGACTAGTGTCCATTTCTGGTGTTTGCCATTTTAAAAAGATGTTGACAAACGGGAAGAGCTCCAAAAAGAGTCATCACAATGATTAGAGGTCTGGAAAACCTATCTTACTGTGGGAGACTACAGAAGTTCAATTTATTTAGATTAACAAAAAGGTTAGAAGGTGACTTGATCATGATGTCTAAGTAACTATATGTGGATAAGATTTCCAGTAGTGGAGAGTTTTTTAATCTAGTAAGCAAAGGTATTATAATGAGATCCAATGGCAGCAGGAAGGCAAAGCTGGAAATTGGACCTAGAAATAAGGCATTGTTTATTTTATTTACAGTGTAGGTAAAATAAAATAACTTACTTAGGGACATGGTGGATTCGTCACCACTTGAATTCTTTACATCAAAACTGGACATTTTTTCTAACAGATATGTTCTAGCTAGAAATTACAAACTGTATAATCTATGGGTGGAAGACTGGTCCCAGTGAAGTCAGTGGCAAAATTTCTACTTAAGTAGGAATAGAATTTCACTCAAATAATCATTGACTAGGTCACAGGATTGTCTGGATTAGAAGAATAAAAACTGTATAATTTTAGTTCATCTTAAATTGGCACATGTGGGATAGGTATAAATTACATTTTCTTAGTTTTTGCTCCAGACCTCAGTTTCAACAGTCCTTTATTACAGATGCTTTGGACTCAGTTCTCTCTTTAATTGCTGTATGTTGTTTTAATAGATCTCTGTTAAAAAAAATTCTTCTACTTAAATTGATCCCAAAAAGAGGATCCCTGGACTATCTGTACTTTTTCTATCTTGATTTGGGATTGAGATGTTAATAGCAAATTAAATTTATTTCACTGACAGTGCCCTCTCCGTTGTCTCCCATTTCATCCTATGGTGGTAGTGGTGGTTGCCTACATGCCATCAACTGCAATTTCATTGTATTAAGACTATAACATTTACACAGTGTCATACTCAAGGTACATTAATGTGTAGCTGTGTTTACCCTTGCCCTTTAACCTGGGATGCATTTTACACTGCTTTGCTGCTATAGCCTCCACTATGGACTGCTCTCAAACAGCCACTAACATGTAAGTTACTAACAGCTATGCCTGTGTGTGAACTGCAGCCAATCTACCACATCTTGACTCTTTATCAGTCTAAGCCCGTGGTCACCAACTGGTTGATCACGATCGACTGATAGGTTGTGAGGCCTCGACCAGTCAATCGCAAGGTGTTTGGGCCCCGCCCACTTCCTCCCCACCCCCAAGAAGCCCCACTACCTACTTGCAGTGAAAGTGGAGGTAGTGCCGGCTTCCCGCAAGGTGGATGGAAGTCCTACAACTTCGCACCACTTCTGGGTGTTCCGGAAGAGTACTGGCTGCTCCCCTCCCTAAGTTCTTTGGCGTGCCGGGAACTTGCCTGGGGGAGTCCCCAGAGGAGGCACACAGGGGCTTCCCTGCGCTGCAGGAGGGGGTGTCGGCCCCAGAGTAGGCATGCGCGGGGGCTTTCCTTCTCTGCGGGGCGGGATGGAGGGGAGTCCTTGGAGGAGGCTGGGGAAGGGGACTCCCTGTCCCTCGCTGCAGAACCCTATCCCCTCCCCCCAGCATCCTGTCCCTCTCTCCTGTGCCCCACCTGCACCCTGTCCCCTGCTGCAGAACCCTGCCCCCACCCCAGCACCCTGTCCCCTGCTCCCACTGGCACCCTGTCCCCTACCCCGGCACCCTGTCCCCTGCTGCAGAACCCTGATCCCACCCCAGCACACTGTCCCCTGCCCCAGCACCCACTAGCACCTTCCCCAGTACCATGTCCCCTGCTCCCACCAGCATAGTTGGGGCCACATTAGTGAGGCCTGGGGTCTTTTTGGGAGGAGGGTTTGGTTTTTTTTGGCATCTCCCTTGTGTGGCCCCAACTGACTTTTTTGTAGGTCAGTGACCCCCTGACTCAAAATAGGTTCCCTGCCCTTCGCATAAATAAAGACAATGCAGAAACTTTTTGTGTTTAACATAGTATTTTATTTAAAAATGAAGCCTGGCCAAAAAAAACCCGGTTGGGGCCAAGCCCCCATCTGGTCAGAGCATTATAATACTCCCCCATCTGGCCACACTCCTGCACCTCCTAGATCTGAGCCTATCATACACTGAAACCCCCTGCCCTGAGCCCTCACATACCCCAACTCAAATTCCTGCATCCTCACAGCCATGAGCCTGTGACTTGCTTAGTACCTCAACCCTCCATCTTACCCCAATGCTCCCCAGCCTGGAGCTCCCCCCCTGAGCCAGCATCCCCTTCTCCACCTCCTCCTGCATCCAGATTTCCTCCCAGAGCTTGCACCTCTCACCCCTTCCCACATCCAAATCCCTCATTTCCACCCCAGAGCCCACACATCCTGTCTCAACCCAGTGAGGGAATGGCTAGACTGCAGGAGACATCCTGGAAAAACTCTTCCGCATCCAAGGATGCATTTGTTCTGCTTTTTTTTTAGTGGAAGAGCAAACATGCTCTTTCGGTAACCCCTATATTCCTCGTTCCACGAGGAATAAGGGGAATTCAAAAAGAAAGGGTTTTTCTAACATTTGGTCCAGTCTAGACAGGCCAAATGTTGGAAAAACCTCTTCCTACATAAGAATTGGGGAAAAAAGTGGCAGTGTAGAGTGTATAAGAGCTGGGGATAGCAAGTGATGGAGAGGAGAATAGAGAGGCCAGGGCTTCAAGGAAGGGGTGGGGTCTTTGGGAAAGGGTGGGGCAGTAGATCTTCGCTTGTTCTGAGATTTAAAAAGTGATCTTGGGTGTAAAAAGGTTGGAGACCACTGGTCTAAGCTATAGTACAAGGTCACCCCCGTTCATTCCTAATCTTACCCTCCCCCCCCTCCAAGAAATATATTTCCTGCATCATCTGGCCCTCTCCTGGACAATACAAGTATCATAAGTCTGTTATTTCTTTAAGATAAAAATATGATATCTTATTATTTCAAATAATTTGTCAGACACTTCATATTATACACAGCAGGGATGTTAGATAGCAGGTAATAGAACAGTCCAGTGGTTCCCAACCTTTTTTTATATCATGGACCAGCAAACCCATTCAGAAACTTTCAACAGACCGGTAACATTTTATTTGTATGTATGTGTGTGTATTATGCAAATAATGAATATGTAAATATGCAAATAAAATGTTACCTATCCGCCTAGCCCCAACCCAGCCTCTTACTTCCCAGTGCTTGACACCCTTTGACCCCCATCCCTATGCCATTTAACCCTTTAACTTCTGACCTCTATAGCCCATGCCCACACCATGACCCTACCCCACCCCCACACTCCCGAGAGCAAGGCTTCCCCCTCTAGGGAGCATAGCCATTGCTGCCGTGCAGGCAGAGGGAGCGGCCATTGGTGGCATGCACACTTATTCCTCCTTTGCTCCCCCTTCCCAAGCATGTTTCTCATCCCCATGAGTAGAGGTGGAGGGAGTATGGAGCCCCGACTGGGCCACCATCTTACCTGGGTAGGAGGTGGAAGGAAAGCGCTTCCTTCTCTGCCTGCTGCTCCCTCAGCCCCAGCACCGCCACCAAGCAAAATCAGCCACCATGAACAATTGTCTTCAGCTCCAGCAGCTGCTACTGCAGCCAGTGGTTCGTGAACCAACGGTTTGGAACTGCTCGGATAGTCGAGTAACCACATGAATTTTTATTGGTTACTCAACTTTCTACTGTCTCCGGGGATGGCAGCCAGTGCATTCCTGGCCCCACTCCCAAGGAGTCCCCTGCTATCTATCCCATGCTGCTGCCTCTATTACAGGAGGCGGTCAGCAAGGGGAGCCAGTTAAAAAACCAGCTCTGTGCATACACCAGTTGCTTGCCACAACCTGTGCTGATGCCTCTGATAAGCATAAGCTTATCTGGTAGTCAATGGGAGAATCAACTACTCGTTCCTCCCTCCCTTTGCTCCCTCTCAGAGACGGTAAGGGGGAGAAACAGGAGCCAGTGCTGGAGGGAGCCAGCTTAAAAGAGGTAGCCAGGAGGGGATGCAACCTCTCTGCCTGCAGCTGCTGCAAACAAGAGCTACTGAACTCACTGCAAGCCAGGACAGAGCAGTCTGGGACATTGCGCCTCTGCATTTTAAATGTACAGTAAACTTCCGATAATCTGGCACCTTTAGGACCCAGGGGGTGCCGGATTATCAGATATGCCAGACTATCAGAAGGGGGGGACTATGAGGGGTCTGGAGTGGGGTGGGAGGGGATGCCTCCCCAGACCCCTCATAGCCCCCCCTTACAATAGTCCGGCTCTGCCCCAGGCATCCCTGATTCAGCTGCTGCTGGTCAGTTTCAGCAGCAGCTGCATCGGGGATGCCTACAATAGAGCAGCTGGGGTGCTGCCGGGTTGGTCCTGCAGTGCCAAGGGGCGGCGCTACGGCACCAACCCAGTAGCACTCCGGTTGCTCTTGGGGACGCCTGGGACAGAGCAGCTGGGGTACTGCCCGGTTGGTCCCGTAGCGCTTCCCCTCG